TCCTCCTCGTATTCCTGCTCCTTCTTCCTGTCCATCCTCCTTGGTTCTGGTCTGCATCCTGCCCTGTTCTCCGGCATCCTGACCTGCGCTGCTATTCTGGTTTGGCCTGGTCGGATCTGGTTTTGGTCGGTCTGACTTTGAGCCAGAGCGGAGTTTGACTCGGGTTTTGGCCTTACACGGGGAATAGATTTTCTATAAACTAAGGTTACAAATTACAAATTTGAATATTTTTAAGATTAAAAAGAAATGTCAGTGAGTTAAGTATTTAAAATATATTTTTTAATATTTTTATTTTACATTTTTTAATAAGATTGTGATCTGTAAGTTGATTTTGTGACTTTTTTACGTTAAAAGTTAATTTTATGTTCTAAAAATTCAAATTTAACTAAATTAAAATGTCAATCAAGCAATTATTTTTAAGTATTTATTTAACTTAGTAACTAAAATAGCTTCTAAATACATTTTAAATATATTTCTTTAAGTGCGGGGTTTAGGGTCTGAGTCTGGAACTGATGTGGTGTGGCCTAAGCTGGCAGTCAAGTGGATGCATGTGTGCTCCCCGCTTAGTCCTTCTGCAATCCTCATCCCGCATCCGCCCACTGACAGTCACCCGCTTCTTGTGGCTGCCATCGTTGTTGTTGTTGTTGTTAGTGTCGTTCTTGTTTTTTTTTGTTGTGATGCATGCCTCACTGGGCTTCATCCCTATTCCTATACCCAAACCTCATCCGACAGTCGCCATCCTCTTCAGCTGCAACCGCCGGCTGTCTTTTATTTTAAGCAGCCAACGCGGAAAAATACCTCAAAAAAAAAAAGCAGAAAAAAATATATATGGTAGGGCAGATAGAGAAATGGCTTGAAATCAAACAAGGAAAACCTGTATGGTGGAAAACCTAAGCTGGAAAAATCTCCGCTTGTGTGTCGACGTCATCGTCAAAAAAAAGTTCGGGGAAAAACAGTTTTTCCTATGCAATTTGAATAATTTAATGGATTTTTATGAGCAGTAAACTGGCGCACAGGATGGATGCACTCAGTCGGTGGCCCCGGATCCGGATTCTCCGACAGCCACGACTTGAGACATTTTTGGACCAGGAGCAGCCAATTCCGGGGAATGTGGTGTGTGCCTGGCGAAAAATGTCCTGCCAGTGACGGAAAAATCGCCGTAAATTTGTGTCGACTCTGGAATAAGGATGGGTTTTTGGGGATTCTATCGGCAATCGGCACTTAGGGAAAGGAATTTGCTTTACTTTTTTTCTTAACTTAAATTAGAAGTGTTTATAAAAATAAGACTAACTATTATTTCATCTTTATTTATTTAATTTTTTATAGTAATGATATGTTTAATTATTCAAAAGTATAAGAATATGAGAATATATGCACAGTTTTGTGTTTTAGGTTTTGAATTTCAGGCATTATTAATGTGATTTTTATTTAAGATTTAAGTATTTTTGTGAAATATTTAGCAACAACTTAAATACATTAAAATAATGATTAGTTTATGGCCATAAAAGTTTATTTTTTTTACCTTAAAGTACTTTTAACTTCTTAAAACTTCTAAGTTAAGTTAAACTTAAAATAATGTAGTTATTTTACAAACTTAAACCTAAGTATATTTAACATCTTTAAATCTAAATCTTATAACCTTAAACTTATTCAAAAATAACATAGGTTTTTAAGTTTATTTAACATTTTTTGGCTCAGTGATGATGTGGGTTCCGTGTTCCGGCTGCTCTGCTCTGTTTCGCTTCGGCTCGGGGAATCGGGTTCTGTGGGCTTATTCAATTTCGCAATCGCCGCCTCTGGAGTCAGCTATGCTCCCTCTCTCCCCTTGAAAGGGGTATACCCTAACTTTTCCCCCCCACTGCTGAGCTGACTGTGCCTCCGGCCATGTCCTGGCCTGTCTTCCCAATTGACTGCCGCGCCACTTCCGTTTCGTTGACGATGGCGATGCGATGGCTATGGCTATGGCGATGGGAACACCAAAGGCAGCCAAGCGTTCGCCTGCTGAATGCACAGCAGCAGCAGCAACATCAGCAGTAGCAACAGCAGCAGTAACAGCAACAGCAATACCAACAGCAGCACCAGCAGCAGCAACACTGTTGTCGTTGTCGACGTTATGCAGCAAATGCAATAAATTTTCAAGTCATTTCAACTTCCGGTGTGTGGCCCCGATTACAGTTTAGTAGCTGTAAATATAAAGCGATATATATAGACACCACTACAGATACAAAAAAATAGGGGTTATGCTTGGGGATTATTAATAATCATAGTCATATTTTATATAATAAACAAATTTTATAACAAATCATGTTTAAGGATTAAGTTTTAGTATTTTTCATAACTTAAGTTAAGCTTCAAGTCAAAGGGAAATTTCCTCCTAATTATACAATATTTAAGATATATTTAAAAACTTAATATTCGTTTTTTAAAAAATTAATATTCTTCTTTAAATATATCTTAAATATTGCATAATTAAAAAGAGTTCTCCCTTTGGCGTGGAGCTTAATTTTAGTTAGATAAATATTATAGAAAGATAAATATTATACTAAAACTTATACAATATTTAAGGTATATTTTAAGACGAATATTAAGTTTTTAAATATTATTTTAATTATGTATAATTGCCGGACATAATTCTGAATTTTATTCATTACAAAATGGACAACTTTGCCTTAAAATTAAAAGAAAAACTAATCAAAATTTCGTATTAATAATTGCAAAGATTTTTATATATATTTATAAAGATTGTCATATTTATTTTAAAATTAAGATTAACTTATCTTCATTATTAGGTTAGTCTTATTTTTTATTTTAAATTAACTTTAAGCTTAACTTCGTCTTACAATTTTACTTACCAGTTTATTTCTAGTCATTCAAGTTTATTATTTATTCAATTTAAGGAACTAATTTATATTCTCTTTGCGGTTAGCTTAATAAGAAAGAGAAATAAGAAAGAAGTAATGGAGGATTCAAAAAGATAGTGAAAGAGCTTGTTTAGCTGTTTTACTATCTTCTTCAATCTCCCATTACCTCAGTCTTATTTCTCTCAGTGCATAGATGCTAGACATTTCTGCCCGCGCTCCTCATCAGCTTCCATTTGCTGCTGGCAACTTTTGTAGCCGTCTGGCCTGGCACTTTAAAGCTAGACTCCTCCGATTTGTTTTCATTTTAATGTCTGTTTTTAATCTTCTTGGCTGGATTCTTCCTTTTTTTTTCTTCCACCACCAGCACCGCTGGGGAAAAGCCTAAAGTAATTACTGTTCAATTTTCCAAAGGGGCTTGGAAAAGTCAGGGGGTGTGAGTCACAGGGGGGAGGGAGGGTATGGGTAGAATTATGAGAGACAACCGCCAGCTGACATTTGCGAAGTTTTCCTCGCTATTTGCCTTGTCATTGTCATTGTGCTGCTGTTTGTATTGTTGTTGTTGTTTAACCATTATTGCAAATGTGTGTGTGCGTGGGTGGATGGGTATTGTTGTGCCACACACACACACACACATCACTACCCATCTCTTTCTCGCCGTTATATCTGTCTCTGTCTCATCCTGTAACTGTCACATTGCTGGCACTTCATCATCATCAACAACAGCAGCAGTCAACGCTTTCTCACTCTGTCTCTCTCTCTCTCTCTATCTCGCTTTCTCTGAATTCTCCCTTTCTCAGGTCTTTCTCACAGCTGGTGATTAGCGACAGGCGGTGGAAGAGGGGTGCTGCGGGATGGTAGGTGGTTAGGTGGCCAAGGAAACCCCCCGATAACGTCACTGGGGGCGATGGCAAATGATTGCCACTTGAGGTGTAAACGAGCGCATTTTACAGCGTCTTTGAGATGTTCAAAAAAAGAAAGAAGGAAAGTAAATGTATAAAAAATATGGAAAATATATATGGGGGAGGGGAGGGGGAAGGCGGAAAAAGTCTAGCTGAAATCACTGCCACGCCCCCGCTCTCCAGTTCGTTATCGATATATGCATAAAGCTTAAGCTGCAAATCGACTGACATTAAGCATTATTATTCCCCGATATCGTCTGTGTTTCTCTCTGTGTGTGTGTGTGTGTGTGTGTGTGCGGCATAAGTGTGCTTCCAGCGAAATTTTGAGAAATATGTTTTGAAGATTTAAAACATATTTGCAATATTGTTGTGAGATGATAAAAAGAAGATTTATTTGCAATTTTGAAGGTGAAAGATAAATCTATGAAGGCTAAAACTGCTTTTTTTTTGTATTTGATATATGGAAAGGTTTATGTTTTGTATTTTTAAACTAAACTCAACAGCTTAAAATAGAGCAAAGTTTTTAAGACCTCTATTTATACCAAGAACTACTAGTTTAGTTAGACATTTTAACAAAGATTTACAAATGTCTTTCCTCTGGCTAAGGCTGGATGCAAGGAAATAACATATCCTTTTAAGGTACTCAATTTATCAAAATAATCCCCAAAATTAATATATCCCAGCATATAGTTTATATCATAGTAGGTATATATTTTATTTAAATATTTAAACTATTTATCGACCAAGTCCAATGACTGCATAAAGCAAAGAATAATTTAATTTTAATGGGTCAACCCCAGAAAAAGTCCAGTTTTTTACATGTAAACAACGAAATCTATACGTACGTATGCCTAGATGTGACTGCATTTCGTAGAACTTCGTTTTCGGTTGCTGTTCGTCCATCTATATTGGATATAGCTTCGTATTTTTTTTTTTTTTTGTGGGTTTCTGGGTGGGCGGGATTTTGTTGAAAGTGTTTAATCATGCCCAAAAATTCAAAATTGCGTTTTGTCTGACCCAAAATGGTTGGTGAATCCACTAAAAAGGTCTCCAAAAGTGTAGACATTTCGAAAGTTCTGGAAAAGTCTAATTCAAATTTGGCGCCCGGGAAAAAAGTTAAATATTAAATAATCAATTGGTTTATGTCCAAGCTAATATAGTGCAGCTTAGAACCAACTGGTTCATGAACCAAGATACATTTTCGCGCTTAAATAATCAAAATTGGCGTTAAATATTTTTCACCATCTGGCCACACTGTCAAATTGCAAGACAATTAAATTCACAAAACTGAAATTTCGAACGACATTGCCATACAATTGCAAAGGAGTTTAGTTGTTAAATAATTTTTAAATATTTTAAGTAATTTCGGTGGTGACCATGTCTCTCTTTCCCGCCTATGGTGATGGCCAACAACCAACATCGACAAGTGCAAGTGAAAAAGACAACCAAAACGACGACGAGCTGCCGGCAACCAGCGCGGTATGGAAATGTAACGAGAGTTTTAATCAAAACCAAAACCAAATTGAGCAGGTAATATCTGATGATGATCAAAGCTCCACCAGTTCTAATAGCGGCGATAGCTCTGACGGCGAGGAGGAGCAGGAGGAGTTGAAAACTTCCCCCAAAACTGCAGAATCACCTAAGCCAGGGTTGTTGCCATTAGAATTCGATGGCAAGGATGAATTTTATGTGGACAAAAGGGGGGATCCATCTCTTAGGACCCTTCAAAAATTGTCCAAACCAGCGCGACCAATCTACAAAACTTATATGCGTCGAATTTGGGATCCGAAACACCAACGCAACGGAAATTTTTCGGTTGACTCCCGGCTGTCAAAAAAGAATAGTCGTTATACCAGGAAACAGATGTCCGTTGATATAGCCAACGATGAGACAGAGACTGAAAAACTCAAAGATCTTCTCAAGCAGAGCAAGGTACGCGTACAGCAAGAGCCGAAAGTGCTGGAACACTGGCTAGAGCTGCATCGCTATTTGGGTCTCAATTTAGACAAGGCGAATCGTCTGGCCGTGGCGGAGCATCAACTTCATACCTTGGAAACGGCCCTCGAGCACCATCCATCCAATGAGCAGATTCTTCGGATCTATGCGGACGTTGCAAATGCCACGTATTCAGCCAGTGAGGTAAGTAATCTATGGATATATGTAGCTTGCCCAGAATATTGGCTTAGAAGGACACGTCTTCATAGCCCTTATCTATGGTTCGAAATTCTTAATCTTATCTGATCTAATCTTATCTCAGTGGATTGAGAATCGATGATGTGTACTACTATATGCTAAATATGGCAAATAATCACTTAAATTAAAGACCTTAAATAATTCCTTTCGATATTCCTTCCCAGGTTGCTGCACGTTTCGAGAAAATGCTCGAGAAGAACCTTTTCGAGTACACCCTTTGGACATCGCTGATCATGGTCACCCAAGGGAACATGGCACGCTGCACTGTACCGGCAGTGCTTCGGATCTATGAGTACTGCATGCGTAAGATGCATGTAGGTCATACCGATGAGTCTAGCCGGCAATTTGCCACCATTAATACAGATCTCATAATGCTAAAACTTTTCTATAATTGTGCATTGTTCTTACGTCAAACGGGCAATTATAACAAGATGTTTGGCCTAATACGTTTGACATTGGAGTTGAATTTCCCAGGATTATCGATGGATTGCTTGGAGGCATGTGTCGCCAATGAAGGCTCAATGATTGAATACGAGGAATTATTGCTGAGTTCGGGATTGCCAATGACGGAGATTTGGGCAAGAGTGGAGCGTCTTCGGCAGGCTTATCGCTATCTGCCTCATACACAGTTATCAGCCTCAATGCTGGATGAGATGGATTTTGATCGCGAACGCTGCATCTTCCCCAACGACGTTGTACCATATGCACATTCACTTAAGTCACCAAAAAATCAACTCCATCTAATGCTTTTGGTTGTCCAACTCATAAAAGTACCATTTTGTCGTAGCTCCTGTTTGGCAGACAAACTGAATTCAAACATCGATGAGCTTGGCGAGTCCGAAGCCATTGAGATGCTTTTCGCTGGATTGGGAGATCGGCATACTTACGCCTTGCCTCACTTTGAAGATTGTCAATTCAGAACATTAATGCTTTCCCTGGGCAAATTTTTTTGCGGAACGCCTAGCTATATGCCGCACTTTGTTGGCTATGATAAATATGCGGAAACCATCAGTGAATTGTTAATTAAATCCAGTAAAGTCTTTGGACAAGAGGAGGACAAGAGGATGGTGTTAATGATTGTGTGGATGCGATTTCAACGAATTCTGGTAGTGATAAACAGGCTCATGGGTAAACTGACCTCTGAAAATATTGACGAGGCTCGCACACGGATTCGTCGCCAATTAAGATTGCCAGAGAATCGCAGTAATGTACGTATGTACACGGAATTTGCCATGTGGGAGTACGAGGCCGATAAGTACTCAAAAAGCATTGACATTTTACGAAAGTTAATTAATAGTGCATCGCAGACAGAAATTCATACAAATCTTAATTTAATGCATGCGTATTTAGTTTTAGCCGAGATTCTTATAGACCAATCTATGAATGATGATGCAAATATTGTGCTGAGTTGCCTGATTAAAGGTAATAGTTCACCTTCTCTTGATGCGGAGGCTGAAATTAGGAATCTAAAGGAGGTATTGAACATAGAGATAGCAGCCCTTGAAACACTACCGGATGAGATGGCAGTGGAAGAATACTTTCAGGAAAATAAACTAATGATACTATTTCGTGCGTACTTTTTAAGTCAAGTTACTGACCCGCATAACTTCAAAATAGATGTGAATATCATGTTCGACAATCTACTAAAGAACCAACTTAGCACTGAGGCGGCAAAGAACAGCGAACGAAGACGTTTTCTTCGTGAGCATAGCCTGGAGTTGCAAGCCTTGTTGTTACAGTGCGAGTTAAGGTATTATGACAATAAGAATTTAATGAGCAGGATAGGAATGCCTCATGGTACTAAGAGAAGTGCAAAATTACGATTGGTTGAGCTAATTGATCGCGGACTAGATGAGTTTCCGCGCAATATGCTGATGCTTGAGTGTTGGTCCAAAATTCAAACGATGCTGTGGTACAAGCAACGTGCCCGTTTTATACGAATCAAAGGCGGTATTCTCTCGATGATGCACTTTGTTATCACTGCCGGTAGTCGCCACAAGCCCTCAGATAGCCCACAAGAGTTGGGGCTGTCGGATACTGCTGTGCAGGATTGCAACGTAAGGAGGTCAGATCGGCGAATGCTTAGCATATTTGAGACATTTCTTCCAACCAATCGATATCGTTCGGAAATTGAAAAGGAACAATATCGCGTTTTACGCAGAAATTCGTTATTTTGGCGATTGTATCTGAAAATTCTATCCAATACGTCGATTAGCTTTGAACGTCTCAAGGAGGTTCTGCTGATGGCGTTGGACGAATGCCCATGGGATAAGGATCTATTGATGGACAGTGCCAAAATATTACCCAGTGAAGTGGTCTTTCTGCAGGATGTAATGACCGAGAAGGAATTGAGGATTTATGCTCTTCCCGAGGAGTTGGACATCCTGCGAAATGATTAAAGGTCCGTAAATTCTAGTCAGATTTTTATTTTTTTTATTAGTCTAATTAACTATATTTTTATACTCAAAACTAGCGTATATTTAGATTATATAAGCTGTATAAACCATTGTACAGATATAAATTAGAAACTTTAATTATAATAAACTTCTCTGCAGTCGCCAATCATAATTGGCCTACAGGCCAATCTTCGATTAACTGGCTGATAATTCAAAAATTCGCCATTCGTTTAAACATTCGATTATGATAAAAAAAAAAAAAAAAAACAAAAACAACCACAACAAATTCCATCACTTTATCGCTTATAGCTCTGCGGGGAATCACTCCAAGAGTCGCATATCGAATGGCTGAGATTAGTTCGACTCCCTCACCTTCTTGCCACTTCGCTGCCCCGTTCGATCCAAGCGTTTTTTTGTGTTTATTATTTTGATTGTATTATCGAAAGATAGCCGAAGAAAACCTATAAACCAAAACAGCGTCGAGAGCAGAGCGTTATACTCGTCCATACACACCTAAGGTGGCCTTCGTAGCAACCAGATGCTGTGATGATTTATTATTTCATAGATAAAGTCTATCATTATCCCTTTTCAAGGTCTATATTTTAACTATTTGTATATTCTTTCTTAAGTTCATTTCATGTAGTAACTCTTTTTGTGACCGCAATTGTTTTGAGAGCTAGATGGCTCGCAAGTTATCGCTCACCTCGAATGTTGCGTATGCGCCCTGTCTGCCCAGCCACTCTAGACTCCTGTGCGTTACTGTTGCTCTTCGCTCTTCTTGGAGGGTTTGTGGATAAGGGGATGAGAAAAACAGCAAAGATGGAAAATGAATAATGTGTGAAAATAGAGGGGAGTGGGGGGGGGGCGGAGGGGTTGAAAAGCTCAGCTCCGCCGAAACGCATCAAAAGCTGTCTGAGCGAGCGTCCTGGCTGCTGTTTCTGATAATTCTGCTGCTGCTGCTTCAGCTGTCCGTCCAACCAACCAACAATCCGTACGTCCGACGTCTTGGGCACTGGGGGCTTTGGACCGGGCCTCATCGGTGGCAGTCGGTCGGCATCTGTCCAAGTCCCACGACGCGTTGTCGCTCCGCATCGGCCGTTGTTGTTGCAAAAGGGAAGCGGCCCATTTTGGCCAAGTGGCGCCTCCGTAGTCGCATAGTCTTATGGCGGCGGAGTCTCACCCCGGAGTTAACCCCAGGAACTTCAGTCCTCAGTTACCAGTTTCCTAGGTTAGTGACAAGCTCGGTGGTATATCGGTCTGATAATCAGGCTATGACATACAAATATAGTATATATATGTACGAGTATATCCCTAAAACAGCCGAGAGTGTTTTCGTTTCGATTGCGAGTGTTATTTTTCTTTTTTTTTTTGTTGACAGTGCCAGTGTATGAGTGAGTGTCTATAGATGTGTGTGTGTGTGTTTGTGTTGTGTTTGCTTAGGTGTTTGTGTGGTGGTGTAGAGAAGCAGCAAGAAGAAGCAGCATTGTGTAAGACGCCAGCGTCAAGTTCATAGACTAAACAGCGACACACTGTCGCGACTCTGCCCCAAAGAAAAAGCTCCCAGAGAGAAAATCAAGAGAGCGTGTGAGAGAGAGAGAGAGCAGAGCAGAGCTCGAAGTCGCTTTCCGCGATGATGCACTGTTAGAAAATGTGGGGAAAACTTGATTTTCGTACTACTATTAATGATGAGAATAATCTGTATTTAAAGACTAAACTTTAGTGCTATTCATGATATTGAAATGTTAATGTGAACCTTCTTGTAGTATAATTTTAGAAGGCTTTACTAGTCTCTAAAGTTTTCTGTAATTTATTTTTGTAATTAAGAACTTATGATGTTTTGTTATGATATTAGTTAAGATTTATATTCTTAAAACAAGGTTTTAGATGGAATATTTCTTGTTCTTAGCAATTCTTAGAGGAATTCTTAGACAATGTTCCTTTTAAGAATTGGAAAATTGTTTTTCCTTGTCAGGAGTTACTCAGATTTATTATTATTTCTTTATTTTTGAACCCTTAAATGTGGAAAAGTCTTCCAAAATCTCTTTTTAACTCAAAAGTTGAAAGAATGAAAACCAAATGCCAGATTTCCATTATTCATTGCATACTTTTCTGCTCCTTTAAAACATTTCAATTTTCATTTTCATAATAATTTTTCTGCCAGATTTCACCCTTGATGAAAATATTTTCCGTTTACCATTATTTTTTCGCTCAGTGTACTTAGTGAGCATGAACTCGGCGAGGGTTTCCCGGCCGGAAACCTTAGTCAAGGTCTCGCCAGCTTTTCAACGCAGGTTGTTGCTGCCCTCTCGCTTGCACGCGCTGTTTGGATTGGCGTTTCGCCATCTTTGTCGCACCATTGCTGCTCCATTGCCGAGCGGAGCAAGCTTTTAGATGTGTTTTTTTTTATTTTGGGCAGCGGCACCTACTGCCGGGAGCGGGAGCATGAGCGTTAGCGTCAGCTCTTCGGGCAGCTGATTCGCCGCCTTTGCCGCTTTCGGCTCTCCGTTTCGCTGCCGCTGTCGCTGCTTCGCCGGCGCTCTGCTGGTCTGGCTGATTAGTTTAGTTTGTGATTTCAATATATGTAATTAATTTTTGTTTCTGTAGCGGTTCGGACGGACGCGTCGCGACGTTCGCTTGGTCCGCCGTTCGGTACGCTTGGTTCGCCTGCCGTCGCTGTTTCTTATTTAATATTATTTTTTATTGTGTGTATTTGCATTTGCATTTGTATTTGTTACTCTGTGTTTTCTTCTTCTTTTTTTTTTGGTTTTTTGGCTGTGTACGTGTGAGCGATTGTAGCAAGCAGAGTGCCAGTGCCAGTGGCTCTTGGCTTGCCTTTTTCGTGGGCTCCGCCGCTGCTAAAATGCAAAGAACACGCTCGAGAAACGTAAATGGCGCCGCGCTAACGAATGGAATTGGAATATCAAACAGTGCCCCCCAAAAGCCCCATATAAAAAAATAATAATAATAATAATAAAAAAAAAACATAATCGTTAAATCAGGAAAGAAAAAAAGAAAAGAAAAAACAACAACAAACAAACTTCGTTTTGTGCCCCTGCGATTTTTTTTTCGGGTGTATGTTGTTCGCCAGTGTTTGTGCTTTTGTGTTAGAAGAAAAAATAAACAAGAAAAAAGTTTGAAATAACAAAAAACCAAAAACGCGGTCGAAGAGAATTATTATAAAAAGAAGGTAGATGGCGGTGACCTTAATGAAATCATACAAACTAGTATTACTTATAAGGTTTTAGGCTAAGATGTTTTCTTGAGAAGAGACTTTTGCCTAAGAAAGGACTTTGTTGGTGGGTTTATGAGGCTTAAAAAGGCACAATTATTAAGAGTCTTTAAGCCAACTCATATTTAAGTATGAAAACACTCTTGTTAAACAAGTTTTGGCTGTTTTTATAGTTCTGAGTTTGTGTTTTTAAGTTCTCATATTGAAATTAATCGGAAATAGTGCTGGAGTCATTGGTGACCGACCAGTTGCTGGTGTTTATGTTGAACTGGAGTAGGTGTTTATAGTTTCTTTTTACTAGTTCCTTGTTCTTGGTAAACAACAAATATTTGTTTACCAATGTTGGCCTTTTTTTTTCGTTTGTTTATCTGTTTTTTTTTTGTTTTATTTTATTTTTTGTTTAAACTTGAGTTGGTGTTTTATGGTGTACCACCAACCAAGCCCTCTTTTTTTGTCATAGCTTTTTATGCTGAAATCAGCGGCGCGTGCGCGCATTTTTGAGCGATCGAAACCCGAGAACGATACATTTTTTGTTGACTTGGGAAAAGTTTCGATTTACGAAAAACATTCCCACTGTCTGTGTTTGTCATCCTACGAAAATCTGCTTAGCCAACATTAACGATTGGCCAGCTAGAAACACATCGAAAAGAAGCCCCCAGCCAGCAGCGGCAGCGGCAGAGGCAGCAGCAGCAACTCACAATCAATGAGGCAAGACAAAATACAAAATTAACATATTAATGAATTTCCAGTTTCTTTTTTCGGTTTATTTAATTTTTAATAAAAAAAAAAACAAAACATCGAAACAAAGACCAGTCAGAACGTGAGAGGCGAGTAGTCAGTCTATCGACTTTGGAATACCCAAAAAAGCGAATGAAAAGCTAGAGAAATATATATACTTATAGTTAAAATTCCAGATCTACGGCTTAATAGGTGCCGCTGTGGGGAGATCATCAACGGTTTATTTTGAATAATAAATGTTAGATGAGGGCACATTATGATAGGGGCCTTAGCCTCCCTTGAACTGGCCAAGTACATAGCTTAGCTAGAACCTCAGCTTGGGATGATAATAACAATGAGAAAAAGAGATAGAAAGAGATATATAATTTGTGTTTTTTTTTTGTTTTTTGGCAAAACCTTTTCAATAATTTACCAGTTCCGAGTTCCGATCAATAAATGTGTTTTTTTTCCAAATTTTGTTTTTTTTTCGGCTGCTCTCAAGGTTTTTCTGTTTGCCGTTGCCGTCGATGATGATTTTGGTCTCTCTGTGTGTGTGTGTGTATGATTTTTATTTTTATTATTTTTCTCTGTTACTTTTTTACGTTTTAGTTTCTTGTATTTTTTGTTTTGTTTTATGTTTGATAATTAATTTCTACGTCGCATGTTGATGTTGGCATTTCAATTGCTTCGGAAGCGTCGAATCTTTCTAGAGACTCTTACTAAATATAGTTTTCGAGTACTTTCTGATCAACTTTTTCTAGAAAACATATTAAATTCCTAGGCGTATAGTTTTTAAATGATTATAAAATATATTTATTCAGCCAGTTATTTGTTTTTAATTATGTCGTGTGTGTGTGTGTATATAAAACCATATAATTTAAGACGTGTGTTTATTTTTTTAAAGATAATAAAATACACAGACAATTTGTTGTAGCAATTTTTGATTGTTTTTTTTACGATTTTATATATGTAAACGCATATATTTTATATATTTTTTGTTATAATTTGTTGTTCTTGTCGCATTTTTTGAACATTTTTTTTTTGCTGACGTCGCGTCTA